CGTAACCTTCGATGCTGCTTGCCCCAGCAGGTCACAAACCAGGAATTTGCAGACGACATTGCAATTGAAGCCTCGGGCAGTTGCGAACAAGTGTGCTCTTCTCTAAGCACAGCCATCACTGGCCTGTCGCAGTGGTTGGAGGACCGCGGACTAATGCTGAACCAAAGGAAAACGCAAGCTCTGTTGATTACCCCAAGAGGCCCAGCCCCTGACACAGATAACATTCGAATTCGCTGTGGGAATGCAGCCCTTGCAGTTGTGGAACAAGCGCGGTACCTGGGCGTAATGGTAGATGGGCAGCTCTCCTGGAAGCCTCACGTCAATCACACAATCCAGCAGATGCGGACGTCAGTAGGTGCGCTGTGGCGGAGCCGCCGAAGCCTCACCCTGGCGTCAAAGATCCTGTTTTACAGGTCGATGATCCAGGGTAGGTTGTCGTACGCTTCCAACGCCTTTTATCCGTCACTTCAAATTGGCAACATGGAGCCCCTCACACGTCTAACGAAGTGCGCTATCCGCGGCTTCTTCGGTCTGCCACCGTGGTCGCGCACGAGCCCGATCTTTGAACAGCTCCGCCTCGCCACCCTGGAGGACATGTTTAACATTAAGCTCCTCATCTTTGTCCGTCGTTGTCTGTTCTCCCGAGCTAGCTCCCTCTTCACCAGCTTCTTCGTGAGAGTTACTGGTGACCGCACTCGGGGAGCAGCACATCATCTCGTTCGAGTACCATTTTGGCCCGGTCCTGCGGGTCGAGCGACCATGCAGTTCATCGGCGCAGTCCTGTGGAACCAGCTCCCGCCTGATCTCCGTGCCCTGCTAAAAGCGCATCATGGCTCCATTTAAATGCTTTTCGGCTAGTATGTTTCTGTGGTATAGCGGACTGAAAAATAGTAAACGTGTTTTGCAATAATAAGCTATTTTGTATGTTCCCATTCCGTTTTTGCTTTGGTGTAGCCCTGAGGTTGATTGCTTATTTATTTCTACCCTTCTTCTCTCCATACTTCTGTCCCCCCCCCTCTCTCTCATTCCTTCTGTCGTCCACATGTATCAAAGGAGGCGAAATCGCCTGTTTGTGGTGCGACGTTAAATAAACGTTTACAACAACAACAACAATCTTTATTTCAGCATTACCCGAAGGCTTACGTCTCTGTTCTCTTCTGCTTTTTTGTAGTTTGTGCCGTTGTGCAACAATAAATCTACCAGTTGTTTGAGTATTATCTGCCAAGAGCTAGCACCTACCCCGTCATCTGGATACCGTTGTACTTTCTTGATGCTTTGTACGAGGGCGTGTCAAGTACATGACACACGTACCACCGTACAATGTAGGTACAGTCATTATTTTGATCGGACGATCCCCACATCTTATCTACTACTATGAAGCTGAAGGATACCCAATGCTGTAGACAGCAAGCTGTAGGATTACGTCCTTCAAAAGAAGTCAGCCTTGCTTGATACTGATAGTGATAACACGGCGAACGTTTGTACTAAACGTTATCTGAACTCGCGGCATTCCTTGCTGGGTCAGCTCTGACTACGATCGATCTGAACGCACAACAGTACAGTAGCATGGGTAGATAGTTTGTACAGTCAATCTGCGGGACGGGTAGTAATCAAAGTATCAAGAGTGCAAGAGTACTCTTGCTAGTATGTACAGTCATGGAACTATTGTACTGCAGTACTATACTGACTACAGCCTTACAGGTTGATTGGCATCGTTCTCACTTGCGCTTCAATACGCGCTTGCAAACAATAACATTCGCCGAGCTCCGACATCCGCCAAAAAGCTAGTTGGGCTGGCACCCAGTCCCTCCTTGCACCCCGTCGCTTCCTACTCCAGTGGGCGGTAACCATTTTGGCGTCCCGTGCCCTTCACTTTCCTTGGTGCAGAAGACAGAGCCAGAAGGCGTCCACTTTAGGTACATTGTACTACTAGTAGTAGTAGTAGTATAACATGTTTCTGTGTATAGTAGTAGTATGCACGTTTTGCAGTCGATAGTTCGCGATGTGATCAAGCCTAGCTTTTCCCTTGCTTCGCTCAGCATTACATGTATTATCAAGCATTCTCGTTTGTTCATCGCGACTCGCGATCTTCTGCCAAAAATGCTGGCTCCAGTGGCAATCGTTTGCATTTGCTAGGTCAACAGTAGTTACACTGGGATCAGCACAGGTTACTTACTCTGTTTTTTCTTCCTTTGCAACGACTTACCTTCTCGCTATGTATCATCGCCACGGAGCTTTGCCTCTAGATCGGTATGATCCAGTTCCTGTGTATACATGTAGAATATCAAAGGAGACCGGCCAAATGACCCGATCTGATTCGCAGACTGAGAAGACGCAACCCATCCTGCGCCAAGGAGATCCAGACGAGCCACAGACAGTATCAGCTACATGCAGGCAAAAGGTAATAAATAATAATACCGTAGTAATATTAATACGATCGTTCTTTTACGGTTGTGAAATGAATGTTTTAGTGCGTTGTTGTTGTTGTTGTTGTTGTTGTTGTTGTTGTTGTTGTTGTTGTTGTTGTTGTTGTTGTTGTTGTTGTTGTTGTTGTTGTTGTTGTTGTTGTTGTTGTTGTTGTTGTTGTTGTTGTTGTTGTTGTTGTTGTTGTTGTTGTTGTTGTTGTTGTTGTTGTTGTTGTTGTTGTTGTTGTGGTTTTTGTTGTTGTTGTTTTGAATTATTTATTCTCACGATGGCGGGTTGGGGGGGGGGGGGTGTTGTTGTTGTTGTTGCTGCTGTTGTTGCTGTTGTTGTTGTTGATACTTTTATTTTGTACTGCAGACCAAACGGGCAATAATGCTCAGTAATGATGGCGATGTTGTGTGTACTTTTAGTTTCAGGGTTCCCTGCAGCTAGCCCTAGTCCTACTTTTTGGGTCCACCTAACCCCTTGCGGCACAGAAAAACTACAAACAAGCTCTGTTTGTTGCCAATAGGGTGATTACTTTTCGGGTAGCGGGGTGGACCTGCCCGTTTGTATTCCATCCAGTGGAATGATGTACAACGACTTTTTTACGTGGCCTGTCTTGGATCGATCCTGGACTGATGCGTAGTGATGGAGCCGACACAGTGCTACAGCGTAGACCCGATCTACAACCGGTAACCAGAGATAGCCGCTGTACCTGGTTTTGGAGGGCTGGTTCTCTGCATGGCCCTTCTTTCTGCAGAGAGATCCTTGGCCTGATATTATCCCACATGTTACATGACGTATGCGGCATCATGCGCCATGTGATCCCAGCAATGACTGACGTAGTACATGTACGCGCAGTGCCGAAATAACACGCAAGACACAGATTGAACCTCACAGATTTGCAGTTCTCTCAAAATTGATTTGCAAAAGAGAGACAGTAGCCTCACTTGAATGGTTCGCCGGCGAACGTTCTCATGGCTTCCGTTGCTGCATGCCTCTCCTGTCAGGAGGCCGCCGGTAAGCCAAGTTTTAGCCAGTGCTGTGCGTTCTCCTTGCTTTGCTGTACGTAGGCACACATTATACAAAACTCAGTGAGTTCGAATTGATATAACTGTCTCACAATGGATACGTTTCCTGTGTCCACGAAAGCTGAGAGGTCGCAGATTCAGAGCCCTGCTTCACCAGTTAGTGAAATGTTCTCGGTTGTTATACCGCAATCGAGTGCTTCTGACCAGCCTGTGGCTTCAGCCGTACGCATACAACCTGTTGCGTCTCGTGTATCTACAACACACTGGGGTTTTAACTCCGACCATCCCAGCGATAGTGCATCAGGAATTACCAGCCGGGCTCAGACAACACCAGGAACATTCCAAGGCCTGATGTACCTGGGTCGGTGCGCTGTGAACCAGCCAACAAGCCAGAAAGAGTGCCAAGATGTCATGTGCCAGCTGGCTGGGGCCAAAGCACTGAAAGTGGACCTGGTTTTCCCGTGCGACACGAGCCACGCGTTTCACATTGTCGACCAGCAGAATGGCGAAGACTTGGCCGCGTTCCCCATACGCGTCATGGTGTCGTGCGTCCGCTCCACCAGTGAGCAAACGCCGGGCTACTTCGGCCTTTGCGTTGCAGAGAGACAGCCGATTGCCACGGTGACCAATCAACGGTTTTCCAGTGACCTGATGGTGTATCACTGTCACGTTCTGCAGACCAGCGATCAGTCAATGGTGAGCTGTAGGGTACGCAGCGGCCCGTCTCAAAACGCCCGCATGCTTCTGTCAATAGGATATTATGGTGTATCTGAAAGTTGTACCAAGAGTACATATCCCCGGGGCGGCCCGACTTTGCAACTCCACTATCTGTGCTGTCCTGGCAGCATTTAAAGTTGACGTCAATTTTATGCTGCGATGCCCGGTGGTCACGTATTGCCAAGAGTAAATAAACTCTCAAGAGCGTGCAACTCTGCATACAGCGTCTCGGACGGCAAAAACTCATGCCGTCGGCGGACCCTTAGAATAAGTATCCAGAGTCGTACACTCTTGGGAGCCTATGTACTCTTGGTATTATCAGACGTATCCAGGGCCATTGGTGTACGAATCCCCATTTGATCCCGTGTAAACAAGTGGAAGGCCAATGAAACCGACTACATGTACATGTACGAACGTTTTAAATCACGTGTGCGAGGAGCATTGCATCTCAAAACTCACACGTCAACTTGAGATTCTGTTGGGATAGCACTTCTTGAAGGAGTTGCAGGTGTTGTACTGTTGGGTGTACCCACGGCAGGATTGTGTACAACCTTGTACTGTGTATTTTGGTATGTATACTTGTAGTACGTTTGTCACGTGATGGGAAGTTCGCAGACGTCTAAGAGCGGAGTTGCACGCTCTTGGTGGTGCCAGGCAGTTTTTGGTTGATCCCCTTCTTTTTCTAGCTTATCCTAGCATCCCCCCCCCCCCCCCCCCCCCAGAGCCCGTCAGATGCATGCTGTTATTATCGTTGCCGCCACCACTAATATGTCACCTGCTCAACTGTAACCATGTTCTGGCATAGGTGTCGCGGATTATCGACTTGATGGACGCAGTTTTCTGGAA